GGACTATATTGATAATTAAGTTGGCCGGAGTATCCAGGGTGAAAGTTCCGAAACCGTATATACATCTGAATGATGTTGATGAGTTGAAGTGTTGATATTATGAGTTGTAATCTCATTTTGAATTGTTGATGAGTTGAAGTGCTGATATTATGAGTTGTAGTCTCATTTTGAATTGTTGATGAATTGAAGTGTTGATATTATGAGTTGTAGTCTCATTTTGAATTGTTGATGAATTGAAGTGTTGTCTTTATGAGTTGTAGTCTCATTTGAATTACTTGGATAAATGAACCATGTCAATAAAGTGAATTGGAAATAGAAATGAAACCGGGTTGAAAGATGAATATAAATGTTGATGGGTTATAGAAATAGTGTAAAGCGATGTACATGTGGTGAACATTTATCAGAAGCTAATGTTTTAGTTATTTCTCATATTTGGTTTAGCATATTTCTACTGGGCTTTGGTTCACCCTACTTGGGACACCATTTTTCAGGTACAGGCGATATGCCACCTCCAAGGGTATAGCTTGGGAGGTTTTGGAGCTGAAGGCTTCATTTTGTTGTTTTGCCTATATTTGTACTTAAATGTAAATCTAAACCGAGGGCTTTATTTGTAAAAGAGTTAGAACTCTTCTTTTGTGTAACCAAGTAATACTTGGAAAGATGTAAGCCTCAGGGCATTCTATTATTTTTGTAAACATTTGGAATATATATGAAATACCATTTTGTAATATTAACTCTGATGTACGTATGGAAATGTGATATTTTATTATGAATATAGAACTGTTAAATGATGGGATTATGTATTATTTTGAGGGTGTTACATGCTCAGTTTTAAAACTCGAAAAAACCGATAATATTCTCGGTGTTATTGAGAAGTTTAATTAAATCAATAAGTAGAAAGCCAAAAAAGTTTAATTGCATACTCTATTTTTTTTTTATCAGTTAGTGAAACAATTATCTGGAACACTATTATGCAAAATTGATAATATTCTTAATTTTAAAAATTGAGAAAGACTGACAAAATTCTCTATTTTACTAAATATGACTTATTGGTTCAAAAAATCTTAGATATGACCTGAGCTACCATAACATTTATAAATAGGACTTTTAAGTAATTAACTTTCAATATCTTTAGTACATCATAATTGAGTAGTTTGTTAGGAAACATTTAAGGAGGAAATGTGGGATGTATTTATTTATTTTTAATCAACTAAATTCCACACGGTAGAAGCTTCACTGCACCAAATTTGGACCTCACTTAATATAATAGTATAGATTAGTTTGTAATTTCCAAAATTATCCCTGAACAAGTGACAGCTCTTAAGCAAAGCGAAGGGCAAAAATGAGAAGTCCAATTTCCACTAATACTCCTAGCTATTTAGAGACCAAATGAACAAAAACTGAAGAATAGGGCTAACATCGACTTTACACATATGGGGAAACACTGTTCATAGGGAGGTCTAAAATATTGTTGACTTCTAAATCAGGCTTTATATATATAGTGTGATATATCAGTTAGTTATATGCTTGTGAAAATGTTATTGATTATTCCAATGACAATTGTAGCCATTGTTTGTTTTTTTAAAAAAAATTATTTTACAACGGAATTCATAATAAATAAAGATAATTGTGCAACCGAATAGGAAATTAGGAGATGAATGATTGTTTGATTAGATATATCATAAACAATAATAACATCATAAACAACAATATTAATGTATATATATGAATAAGCCCTTTCACTATAATGAAGACCTATGAGGGGCCAAGCCCATATTCCAGATACGTGAACCCATTTTAAACACATCATAGACATAATGGTGCGAATCGAACTCCGTCTACGTAAAAGGTGCCCACATCTATCTAGTTGGGAGATTGTTGGCATTTTGGCTTTCGAAGGTTATTTTTGTAATTATGAGCGTGCCAGCAAGGATCAATCAGTCCTTACAGAATTGTAATTGCCAACCAATTATTCAGACGATTGTGTTATGGTTCTTTCAGCCTCAATGAAGAGGACTTTTACTGGTGGCTTACTGATAGCTTAATTTAGGAGAATTTAAGCATAAGAACAGTTAAATAAATTGAAACATTTCATTAGTACGAAAACTTACAATGATCTCAGCCTCGTAGAGATTTACAGCGGCAATATACTCGAAAACTACTCCTACAAATGAAGTGCAGTGCAAGAATTTAAAGTACAGAAATGTAAAGAACAGGAAATAAAACTGGAATATGTAAAGTAAGACTGGTTTTCTTTAGATTTTAGCCTCCTCCTTCTCTGAAGTCCTTCCTGCTATTTATACTCCCCAAAGATAACCATCGAACTGCACTTCAAACTGTCGAACTGCTCCTCTATAATCGCTGATCGTGCTGCCTTATGAATAGTTCTACTACGCTTTCACTTGCAGTTAGGCTCCCCTCCTATATTTGAATTTGAATGTGAGTAACCGTTGAAGCCATGTCACTTTGCATCTCTTTGTTGATCCACTGTTACTCAGATCTTATAACAACCAATTTTAACTGCCACGTGTATGATCAGGATCGGAGATTTGACTGGTTTCCCCATACTGCCCTTACCTTGCCACACGTCGAATTGTCACTGGTGTGTACAAAATATGTAGCCAACAGAGATATAGGCATGATGAGGAGGTCAATGACGTAATAAGCCAATTCCATTCCTAGCATGATCAAACGATCATGATTAGCAATATAGGAAACGCCAATTTGAATTTGAGCATATCACGACTGTTGTTCTTAAAACGGTTGGGATACGTGGCCTAATGTACAGTGGTCTTTTCCAATTGCTACCATCCCCAACTAATGGGGACATGTCTTGTAGCTTTTCTCTACCTCATTATGGTGATACACATGACAATTTCTTATTGGTTACAATGCTAACACAATTATTCCCTCAATTAAGATGTAATTGTGCAAGTGAACTCTCTACATATACACACATCTAGTTACATTATAAATGTACACTATCTATTATACTTACTCTTTGCTTATCTTTTTTCTCAAACATATTAAATTTACACTATCTATTATACTCACTCCTTGATTATCTTTTTTCTCAAACATATTTCTAACTTGACCATTAGAGGACTCTTGAGAATGACACAATATTTTTCAATGTTTCAATGGTTTGTTTGCAGATATTATGAAGAGGAAACCAAAGCCCATCTCAACACTGTACGGGTCTAGCTCATTTCATAGACTGCCAATTTAATGGTTTCTTTTGAAATTTTCCAATTATTCACTTTTCTCCCCTCTAACGGTATGTGTACCAAAATGCACACAATGCGATAAATACACATAGACCACAAAACTACCAGCAAATAACAAAACAACGCAAAACACAAATCCACCTCTTATAGTAGAAACCAATTTGATAAAAACACGCATGCTTTCCTCCCATACATATATTCATAATTAAAAATCAAAATCTTTCAGTTTTATTATGAAAAGTGAAGTATAAATGTTAAGAAACCACACAAAAGCACAAGAGGAAAGAAAAAATGAGATTTAATTTATGCCTTGCTATCCATTAGATTGGGATTTGGCTACAAATAACACTTGTGATGTCTCAAAAATCGTAGGTAACGTTTGGTAGAGCTTTCTAAATATCATTTGAGAGTAGAAGTTATATTTTGAGTTTGTGAGTTTTGAAATTATAATTTGAGTGTAGAAAATTTGTTTGGTGAATGAGTTTTGAAAAAACTTTTGAATTGAGTGGGAAATTTTTGATATGACATATGATATTTGATACAAAACTTACAACTCATAACCAAACACACAATTCAAAATTCTATTAAAGCTCATAAAAAAATTTAAAAAATTCAAAAAATATTTTTTATTGAATATATAAAAATTAATATGTGTCAATTGCCAAAAATAAAAATAAAAAAAAGTGCACTGTTTCAGTTAACCGGCCGGACGTCCGGTGGGACGACTGGTTAGTCCAAATTTTCCCACCTTTGACTGAGTTTTCAAAAGTAAACGTAGAATTAGTTTTTAAAAGCTACAAACAAACATCATGTAAGAATCAACGACTGGAACTAAAGTTTCAAAGCTCTACCAAACAGAGCCGTAGATTCTCTATTAATTGATCAAATAATCATTTTAGTTTTTTATGGTGTCAGTGCATTTCTGAAGTAAGTTTTGGAATTGTTGAGTATTGAATTATGATTTATATGGATTGAGTTTAGAATTAAAAGGCTTAGAAGAAGAATGATTGAGAAATAAGAAATAGTGTGACCTAAAATGTTTGAGAAATACATGAGTTATGGATATGATAGTGGTGACAAAGGCAATGAATGAGAGGTTGATGCAAAAGAGGTGGTAGAGGAGACAGCCATGGAGCAGTAGGGATGAAAAAAAAAAAAAAAATTAAATAAGCGATAATGATAGATGAATAGTGATTGTACAAATGAAGAAAGAAGACAATTTGATAATAGATGTTTTAAAATGAATAGTAAAAGGGAATAAAAGAAAAAAGCTAACAAAAGAGTGACATGTGTATTATAGGATGTTACCTTTGCTACACAAGTTTACAGCGATAGACAAATAGTTTGAATTGTGATCGGTTTATAAGTGTAGGGCTTAATTCAAATAAATTTAAAAACATGGTGTTTTAATTTATTACAAATGTCATAGGAGTAATTTTTGTATTTTTTTCTAAATGGTATTTACAAGTCAGTCCTATGGATGAGATTTATTTACCAATAAATCCTGCTAATACATAAACAATTATCATCTATAAATTTACGAATTTAACAAATAAAACTCACAACTACATATAAACAAAAAATAAATTTCTAATTCATAGTTCTATAAAATTTTCACTAAGGACTTGTAAGTAAATAAGTGATCGGTAAGACTAACTAGTAATTATTGATTTTTTCCAATTATTTTGTTATTATAGACATGGGCCTTCTCTGTAGTGGGCATGTAAATTGGAGGCCCAAGGTCTAAGTTAATTTATGGCCCTTCGGCTCATCGTCAACCTCAATCGCATATACCTTACGGACGAGCTTCGGATCGTCCATTTCTAATGTGTACAGCGAGATCTCTGATCAATTCTCACATCCCGAGTTGACCCAGTGAGTGGTGGAGTCGCGCGAGTCAGCGTCGCCGTTATCACGGTGGTTGTTGGCGGCGGTGGCGGTGGTGCTAGGGCAGCAAGATGGTGGATCCGGCGAACACTCCACTCGGACGAATGTTATTGGACGAGATCACACCCGTTGTCATGGTGCTTCGAACGAACCTCGTCGAAGAGACTTGTCAAAAGAATGGCCTCAGCTTGATTCAAATGCTCAGCCCTTTCTGTGCCTTCAACAACATTGATGGTAACTATACATGTATATGTATATATTGTATATAGAATGTGCGTTTGTGTGTAGAGAATTGGGGGTTTTGATGTGATTTTGATGTGAAATTTGTGACAGTACCTGTACGGACAGCGAGTGATCAACCCTACAGGCTTCAGAAGTTCAAGTTACGGTTGTTCTACGCGTCTGACATTCGGCAGCCCAATGTAGAGGTGATTATTGTTAAATTTTCTGTTTGGTTGCTGGTAAAATGAAGGAAAATGAAACCAATGGAAGTTTCAGTATTAGTTCATTTTAATTTTTTGGTTGTCATTTAGGAGTTGAAGAAAGAATTGTTGCACTCAGGTGAACCTAATGCAGTTAATTGCGTTATATGAAATGGTAGCAGTTGTTTATGGGTTTCGAAGTATATATGAATTTGTGAAAATATATTTGTTGTTAGCTTTCTTTAATTACAATTTACTGCAGCTACCTCCTTTTATCTTCTTGTTTTACAATAGTGGTTTTAGATCTGTTATAGTGTCTCCATTTTTGTTCTAATCTTTTTCAGTTAATTTTCACTTGCAATGTTTTGAATGACTGATATATATAGACACATATAAATATTTCTTTGGTGGTGCAGCCTCCCAATCTGAACTCATACCGTCATGGTTTCCGTTCTTCAACAAAGAGCTAGTACGAACAGTCTCTTTTTCAGATCATGAAGCTTTTGACCATCCTGTGGCATGTAAGCTCTTGTATTTCTTCTTCTAATACTTTTCTGTTTGCCCCTCTCTTTCTATGTCTCTCCTCAAGTTTGGTTGTTTTGATCTCTTCTGCTTATGATGTCAGATTATGGTCTTTTACCTTTTTGGAATGATTACTTGATTGTATCCTTTGTTCAACTTTACTTGCAGGTCTTTTGGTTGTTCCTTCAAAGGATGAAGAGCCTATCAATAGATTTGTTGACCTTTTTAACAGCGATCATTGCCTTCACTTCTTAGTGATGGAGCAATGGATCCAAAGATTCTGAAGTATTATCTGTTGCCGCATGATAACCAAGATGGCACATCCAATATAGTCATTTATAATTTATATTTTTTATTAATATATAATTTTAATTTTTTATTAATATATTTATAAATGTCTATTTTAATAATAAATTATTTTTTATTAATAATTTAGTCCGCTGGACTCCATATCCCTCGTATGAAGGGCTAAACAATCCTAAGGAGGATTATTTCCATGCGATTGGTATCCCATGGGATTAATGTGTGAAATATGTATTTTACCGTCATACTATTACTTAGTAAACAATTAGAAAATGGGGGGATTAGAATTCATCGGACTTGAATCTTGGGATTGTGAATCCCCCGGACTATTTGGTTAGGTTGGATGTGTATCCCGTGTTTATTTTCTCATTGGATTAGATGTCTAGAAAGGACTATTTTTAGTGAATCTAATGTTTGGTTGGACGAACTAGATAAGGATAAATGTGTAAAAGACTATTTTATCATTTTTCAATTGTTTACTAAGTAATAGAAATATTAAACATATCTTTAATATTTTAATAATTTTTAGCTAGATTAAATATAAATTTATTCTATTTTATTTTTTACACAATTAAATAAATTTACTTTTAAAAATTAAATAAATAAGATACTAATAAAAATATATGTTATTTTTTTGATTAAAATTTTAAATAAATTTATTTTAAAAAGTAATAATAATTAAATAATGAAATTAAATAAAAAAATCTATTAAATGAGTTAAATTTGAGTGATGATATTAGAGAACAAATTGAATTGTTGCCAAAACAGTCAAGAAAGTCAAAATTGTTCAAGAAAGTCAAAATTGTCTCGTGCTGCCTTGTACGCGTGGAATTTCCATCCAAAAGTCTAACCACCGTTAATTATTGGACCATTTCGAGCCAAAAACCAAACTCAAACTCTGGTTTGTACTATTTCCCAAATTCTTTCTTGTCCATTATTGCTTCAAACTTGCTGTTGCCCTCTCAGGTCTGTAGGTAGGCTCTGGTCAAACCAACATTCTCTTCTTGCTTTGATGAACTTTTGTGCTCATGAATTTTGATCTATTGGGCCTTAATGCTTGTGATGTTAAATTCCATTGATGCTGAAATTTGTAAAGCTTGAGAGTGATAAAATAAAAAAATAAAAATAATTGTTGCTCAGAAATTTGTGGGTGAATACTTAAAACCCTCTATCTTGAACTCTACATCTAATATATATATATATTGTGAATCTTGATTTGCTGATTGTTGCTTACTGCTATAGAAAATAAGACCAGAACGAACCCCCATTAAATGCTTGGCCATTGAGAAAAGTAAAATGCCCTGATATTGAATTTTGGAATTTTGGCCTGAGATGGGTAATACATTGTTGAACTTTAGTTTATGCAATTCTGATCCGAAGACGCTGTATTTCAAATCCACATTTGAATCCTAAAACCCCTCTACTGATTTTATTTTTTTATTTTTTTGAAATAGAGGCAAGTCTTGAAGCATTTTTGGTGACTCAAAATTTGACATTACTAAAATCACAATATTGAATGTTTGAATATTGTAATTCCGGAATTTGAAACTTTACCGAGAAGCTTGGTGTCGACAAAACGAGACTTTGCCCTGTTGAAGAGAATGGAACAAAAGTGCCATTGTTGTTGATGATACACACATTAATATTGCAATTTGTTGAACTTGAGGATGTTGAGGATCTACATCCTATGTACTTATTGGACTCTGTCATTGAATCTTGAACCCATATTGTATTGATGTGACTTGTCATTAAATCTCAACCATACAACACACCACTCTAGGAAACTTTAGGAAAAAAAAACTCTAGAGGATCCTTGCTCGACATTTGCGCTTGCATTCGTGATCATTTCTTTGGAAACTATTATAAGTGAAAAAGTTAGTATTGAGGTCTCGTTTGGGAACAGACCTTTTAAGTAATTTTTTGATTTTTTGACTAAAATATTATGTAAAAAAAAATTAATACGTTTTGGATGATTTTTTGACCTTTTACGAAAAGATGTGTAAAAAGTAGAAAGAAAAGGAAATCTTTAACTTTTTGGTATAGATTGTTGACTTTTTAAGTTTTTTAGTAATTTTTTAACTAAAAAAATCACTTACCAAACAAGGCCTCAATACACAAAAAATAATAATATCTTAAAACTTACCATTTCGTGAGACAATATTTGCTATGTATGTATACATAAAAAAGTGAAAGTGTTCTTGGTAAATAGTTGGTATTGAATGCATAAAATTATGTGCCGTTTTGGCAACACATTCAAAACGTAACTTTTTTGTTGGCCAAGACCAAAACGCCAAACAGGACCAAAAGAAATTTCCATTTGGGAAGATAAAAAACGCAACATGCAAATTTACTAAATTACCCTCTGAAAAATTTTAATTAATTAATTCAAAAATAAAAAGTAAAGATATTTTGGTCATTTTAGAATGATATGACACTTTTAAAAAATATTAAACCAAAAATAAAAAAAAATCAACTTTTTACCAACTTCTCAAATCACTTCTAAAAAAGCCAAAAAGCTTGGTAAAAAGTCAAAAATTAACTTTTTACCAACTTTCCAAAACATTCCTTTAAAAACTTTCAGTAGGTAAACTTTAAAAAAATAATAATAATAACATATTATGAACAGAGCTGATTCGGAGCTCTAAAAATAGAGTATTAAATCTGTTCTAATGAGCAGGAAAAGTAAAAAAAAAAAAAAAAAAACAACAACAACAACAACCATCACATCATGAAGGGTGTCAACTCATTAGTGCTCTTCTTAGTACTAGTGCTCTCAAGCATTTTTGTATTATAAATTACCATTTGGTATGGTAACATTCAAATTTGGTTTCGTAATCACTTCTTTTGAAATTGTTATAAGTAAATAGTTAGTATTGAAAAACACAAAATTATTAAATTCCACACCTATATTTTTAGGAAAAAAAAAAAACTACTAATAACATGTTAGAGGTTACCATTTGGTAGGGTGAAATTCGAATTTGCCTCTGTGGCTAGTTCTTCTGAAACTATTATAAGTAAAAAAAAGTTAGTATTGAATACGCCAAATTATTAACAGTAGCAATATTTACAAAATAATAATTATAATAACATCGTAGAGCTTACCATTTGGTAGGATAATATTCGGATTTACCACTGTAGTCATTTTATTTTATCTATTTATTTTGCATATTCACGTGCAATTGAATTATTCTTATTAGAAGAATAATTTTGTCATATAATTATAAAAAGAAATCTGCCTAAGTTTGTATATATAATCATAACAATATGATCGTCATTTACCTGAAAAGGTGCGTATTTCTCGTGTAGAATACATGTTCTTCAACAACGTGCTTATTTTGTAATTTTGTTCAGATGTTCTGCATACGTAGTATGATCATGATCAATTACTGAAGGAACTTGATAAGAACAATTAATTATTTAAGAACATTGAATTTTTAAACACACACAGGAAATTTAAGAACACTTTCCTTTTTTTTTTTTAAACACACACACAAAATGAAGATAACAAACAAATAAATACTGTTTTTTTTAAACACACACAAAATTTAAGAACACTAATAAAGAAAATAAACAAATACACACTGATTTTTTTAAGCATACACAAAAAAATTTAAAACACACACAAAATAAAGACAACAAACAAATAAATTAAACCAATGATTCTTAAAACACTTAGAAGTAAAGAGATTTGATATATACTTAAAATTCATGAACATTGATTATATTAACAAATAAATCAAACCAATAATTTTTTTTAAAAAAAACCAAATTTTACGAACACTGATTGTAATTAACAATATACACTTATAGTACACACACAAAATGAAGACAACAAACAAATAAACAATAATTTGTTTAAACACACACATAAATTTTAGAACACTGATTTTTTTTTTAAACACACACAAAATGAAGACAACAAATAAATAAAGGGTAAATTACATTGATACCCCTTGAGATTTGGTCCAATTACTACCTACTCGCTGACGTTTTGAAAATTACATTCTCACCCCTGTGATTAATAGTCTCATTTCACAAACATCCTGCTTATATAAAAGGTAACAACTCTTAATAGAAAAACAAAAAAAATTACATTAAAAAAAGAAAAAAAGTAAAGAAAAGGGGAAAATAAAGCAAAACAAAAAAAGAAAGAGTACATGAGTTCAATGTTTTCATTCCGTCTAAATAATTACAATAATAAAGGGATTACTGTAATTTATCAAACGTCAAGAGTGATATATATTAAACCCAAAACTCATAGAGTATAAGTGTAATTTACCCATAAATAAATCAAACCAATAACACTTAAAACACTTAGCTAAAGAGATTTTATATACCCTTTAATACTTACGAACACTGATTATATTAACAATAAATCAAACAAATAATTATTATAAAAAAATACAATTTTACGAACACCGACTATATTAACAAATAAACCAAACTAAAAATTTTTTTTAAAAAAAACAAATTTTACGAACATTGATATTAACACACCGACATATAGTCCACACCGACACCGACACCGACACCGACACCGACACCGACACCGACACGACTCTCGTCCTTCTCTCTCCAAGGTAAGCATATTTATAATCTCAGTATTCTTTCTGATTAGGGCTTTTTTTACATTTCAACTTGATTGTTTTGATTCAATGAAAATGCAGACATACATTGGAGAGTGGAGGCAAACATTTTGATTGAATTTGGGGCTCCGGTTGTCTCTACCTATGGTCACCACTGTTTAAAATTACTCTCTCTTATCTTTTTTTTTTTTTTTTCCTTCCCTCAAATAAAAATTGAGATGTTGATTTATGGTTTATTTGTGCTTGAAGTGATGGGTTTTGATTTGC